TACTTGGAAGGTTGAGGCGGAAGGATCGCTGGAGCCCAGCAGGTTGAGGTGCAGTGGCCGGGAGCGGCCACTGCACTCCAGTCTGGGCGACAGAGTGAGACTCCAACTCAAAAAAAAAAAAAAAAAAAGAATATAATGAAGTTGGTGGAGGTATAACTTGCTATGATCTCTTTTGAGCAACTTGTTAATGCATCAATTATAAATACATAAATTTTTGGATTCAGCAATTTCTCTTCTAGGAATGGATTCTATAAATATATCTGCAAATACAAGATTTGTTAAGGCAATATTTGTGATAGTAAAAGACTATAAACAAAATATCTAGTAGGGGATTAGATGAATGAACTATGGTACATTGGTATGCTGTGCAGCTGTTGAAACTCATGTGAACCATCTTTAAAATGTCTTAAGTGTTAAAAGTAAAGAACTTTGCACTAGGATAGTGAACTAAAACAAGAAACCCTCCCTCTTGCTTTAATCTCAATAGAAATCCAAGATAAAACATACTTTTTAATGTTCCCAAAGCCACATTATGGATAGGGACTTATTATATTGTTCTGTATATGTTAAGAGTTTTCTGGTCAGGCACGGTGGTTCAAGACTGTAATCCCAGCACTTTAGGAGGCCAAGGTAAGAGGATTGCCTGAGCCCACGGGTTTGCAACCAGACTGGGCAACCGGGCGAGACCTCATCTCTACAATTAATAAAAAAATTAGCCGTGTGTGGTAGCGGGCACCTGTAGTTCTGGCTACTTGGAAGGCTGAGGCAGAAGGATTGCCTGAGCCCAAGTGGGTCAACGTGGGGTGACTGTGAGTGTGCCACTGCATTCCAGCCTGGGCAAGGTAGTGAGACTCCAACTAAAAAAAAAAAAAAAAAAAAGAGTTGTCCATAATAAAATATTTCCATAATAAAAAAATCCATATTTACCAACCTGGAAAAAAGGACAAAAACACAATTTACCAATAGATGCCAATTTAGCTCGTAAAAAGATTTTCAGTTTCATCAGCCATTAGGGAAACGCAAATGAAAACTACATCGAGATAATGCACCATTAATTGGAATGTCTAAAATTTAAAAATACTGAAAATGCCAAGTGCTGACAAAGATGTGGAACAAATAGAACTCATATATTCAAGAGGAGATCACATGATGGTACAGTAACTCTATTTTTATTTATTTATTTTGAGTCTCACTCTGTTGCCCAGACTGGAGTATAGTGGCACACTGATGGGCTCAGGCAATCCTTCAGTCTCAGCCAATCCTTCAGCCTCAGCCTTCCAAGCAGCTGGAACTACAAGTGTGTACCACCACACCCAGCTAATTTTTTGGTTTATTGTAGAGACAAGGTCTCACCAAGTTGCCCAAGTTGGTCCCCAACCCCTAGGCTCAGGCAACACTCTTCCCTTCACCTCCCAAAGTGCTGGGATTATAGGCGTGAGCCACCACACCCAGATGGTAACTCTTAGAAATGTTTTCCTAGTCCTTGAAAAATTAAATATACATTTACCCTGTGACTCAGCAGTCCCAGTCTTGGGTATCTACCCCAAGGAAACAGAAATGTATGTTTATGCAAAAGCCTGTATACAAATGTTTATAGTAGCTCTATTCAGAATTCCAAAACTTGGAAAAAATACAAATATCTTTTAATATTTCAGTATATTCATAATGTGGAATATTATTCAGTAACTAAAATAAGTAAACTGTTGTTACAACAAAGTGAATGAACCATAAAAGCATTTTATATATATATATATATATTTTTTTTTTTTTTTGAGTTGAGTTGAGATCGCCCTCTGTCACCCAGACTGGGACGCAGTGGCATGCTCACAGCTCACCACAGTTTTCAACCCCTGGTTTCAGGCAATCTTCTGGTCTCAGTCTCTTGAGTAGCTGGCACTATAGGTGCAGACCACCAGGTCTGGCTAATTTGTCTGTTTGGTTTATTTGTCTGTTTTCGGTAGACACAAGACTCACCATGTTGCCCAGGATGATCTCAAACTCCTGGCCTCAAGCAGTTCTCTCACCTCTACTTCCCAAAGTGCTAGGATTACAAGTGTTAACCCCCTTTCCCAGAGCATTATACTTTTGAGAAGACAGTCACCAAAGATTACGTACTGTATGATTCCATTTGTATGTCATTCTCCAAAGGAGAAAGAGGGATGGAAAGCAGATCAGTCCTTGCTAGAAGTAAGGGGTGCAAGGAGGGGTGACTATAAAGGAGGTTTTGGGAAGTGATAGAACCCTTCTGTATCTCAGTTGCGGTGGTTATTACACATATCCATACATGTGTCCAAATACATAGCACTTTACACCAAAGGGAAAACAAAGTTCATTTATGATATGACATTTAAAAAAATTAAAACAATCTTGGTGCAATGTTTGGAAAAAAGAAACATCTCTTTTCTACGATCATGTAAGCTAAAATAAAGAAGCGGGTCAAAAATAAATAAAAACAGTAAGGTACATGTATATTTCACTCTGCCTTAGCAAACACAGATGTGCACATACTCATCATACCTATGCAAGGACTAGTTTATTTCTCATAGACACCCTCCCTCGAGCTGCACACGTCTCCTTTCTGTGTTTTGGCCTGACTCTTCACATATGCTTAGGACAGAATCTGAGGTTGGCTTTCTGGGCACAATCGCCGCCCTCTTCCTCTCCCTCTGTCTTTCTGTCTCTCCCTGATTACCCCTGCCTGAGTGTCTCCATTTCTCTCTATATATTCATGGGTCATTCCGTGTTTCTTTGCCTCTTCCCGTCTTTTTCTCCCCGTGTCCCTCTGTCCCCGCCATGCTGCTGGGGCTCGGCCCTCCGGTTGGCCACCCTGGGTCCCTGTAGGCGTCCCAAGGCCTGGGTGGCTTCTCGCATCTCTGCACGAGGCAATTCTCTGGGCACAGAAAGAGCTTGGCCCGTGCCAGGTACACCAGAAGTGCTCTCCATCAACGAGGGAGGGTCGCAGGGGACAAAGCTCGCCTCCCCGCCTTGGCGGGACAACCCGAGCTGTGTCTTTGTGGCATCCCGGGGTCGCGCAGGACGGACTCCCCAACCCACAGTGGGGCGCCTGCCCGGCGTCAGCACCTCTGCACCTCTCCCCTCCTTCCTGGTCTCGTGTCCCTAGTCCCCTGCTCGATTCGCACGATCCCTCGCAGATGAGCCCCTTGAGCCTCATGCTTGACTCAGTGTCAGCTTTGGGGGGAACCAGACCAGATACTCTCTCCCTCCTTGTCTCTGTCTCAGGCCCTGTGCCTGTCTCTTTACTCTCCGTTTCCCTCTCTCTCTCTTCAGTTTCCTCGGCTGGTAGCGGCCTGTTTCCCAGACTTGGAGATCGCAAGAGAGTCGGAAGCTCCATTCCAGACAAGCCGGCTTTGGCCTACGGGGTGTGGGCCCCGGGACCCTCCTCTGAGAACCAACTCTCAGGGCGGCGCCTGCTCCTCCCACCAGCAGGGGGCGCTGTGGGCCAGAGCGGCGACCGCGTCCCGGGCCGCCGCGTCCCAGCATGCACCGCGCCCTTGCCGGCGCCGCGTTTGGGAGCCACCCGGGGGCTCTTCCGGGGGGTCGCGCGGAGCTGAGTTCCCTGCGCTGCCGGGCGGGTTCCCGCAGAGCCGCCATGGCCAGGCCGGCTTCGGTAAGAGGGGCCGGTGGAGGAGGAGGCTCTGCCGAAAGTCTGGTGCCTGGCGCGGCTGGAGTGGGGTCCCGCCCAAGGAGTGAGGCAGTGGGAGCCCGGCCCCGGGGGGTTGCTCCGAGCTCGGGCTGGAGACGCGCAGTTTTGGTGCGCGTGTTCCAGAGTTGACCTGGACAAAGTTGTTCTGGCTGGCACCGTGGCGCGCGCCTGTGGTCCCCGCTACTTGGGCGACAGAGGTTGAGGATGCTCGAGCTCGGGAGCTCTGGGCTGTAATGTGCTCTGCCGATCGGCGTCCGCCTAAGTTCGGTGTCAATACGGACCTCCCAGGAGCAGGGCCAGCCGGGTGCCAAAGTGGGGTGACCCAGCCCAGCTCGAAACGCAGCAGGTCGGAACTCCAGTGCTGTCAGTAGTGGGATCGCGCCAGTGAAGAGCCACGGCCCTCCAGCCTCCAGCGAGACCTCGTCTCTTTGAATAAATGAATAAAGTTGGACTGGCAGAGGCGGGGTGGATAAGTCCGGTGTCTCGGTGGTTGTCGGCTCAGACCAACCAGTGTCCTCGCCCTCAGTGTCCGGGCTATGAACCTTGGGGTCTCTTTAGGGCTCAGAAATAACGGCTGTGGCTGTTCCATGCTCTGGCTGAAGGTAGCCACGGGAATGAGCATCTGTGTAAGGGGATGAGAAAAAGTTAGGGAAGGGCAGTGCGCGGTTGCTCAGGCCTGTAATCCCAGCACTTTGGGTGGCCGAGGCGAGAGGATTGGCTGAGCCCAGAGGTTCGAGACCCGCCCGGGCAACTTGGTAAGACCTCGTCTCTACAATAAATCAAAAAATTAGCCGGGCGTGGTGGCACATGCCTGTAGTTCCAGCTACTTGGAAGGATGAGGCGGAAGGATCGCCTGAGCCCAGCAGGTCGAGGCTGCCGTGGCCGTGAGTGTGCCACTGCACTCCAGGCTGGGCGACAGAGTAAGACTCCGACTCAAAAAAAAAAAAAAAGTTAGGGGAGGGAAAACGAGCCGAGAGAAAATGGAGACTTGAAGACTATCCTCAAGGGAGGGACAGAAGACTTGAAACCAGATTGTGTGGTTATCCTAAATCAAATTTGTCGCCAGTGCTCCAATATTGTAACGGAAAATTTGATCACGGTTTTTAGAGTTTGAAAGGCATATCTTGAGGCTTAATCCAGGAAGCCCTGTTTCATTCAGTTGAGGATAACCTGTTTGAAATACGCAAGTTTTCCTTGTACCCCCACTGGAATGTCATGCATCCTGTTTGCATTTTATTCTTCCCTTGTGCCTCCCACCCCCTTTCTAGCCTCCCTTGGCAGGTACAGATTCCTCTCCTGTTTCTTCAGGCTGAGTCTCTTCAGCTCCATTTTTTTCTTTTCTGTCTTCTCTAAATGGTTGAGAACCTCCTAGAATGTCCTTTCTGTTCTGTGACAGTTTGTGGTAGCTCTTAGGCTATACATTTGAATCCATAGAACATGTGCAACCAGCTAGTCCCACTCCTTGGCTATTATATTATTTAGAATAAACATGAAGCCGTTTTTTAAAATTTTTCCTTTTCACTGCAGCAGTTTGGTGCTAATTGTGAATATGGTCACAAATGAGTCTTTTGTAGGTGAGAAACGTGGGTGGGAGACAGGAAGATGTAGGAATTTTGTTGAAATTCCATTATAAAAACAAGTTTAAACTTGTTTGTTATGTTAATAATAGTTGATACTTAAGCTTTTGTTTCCTGTGATAGGTTTTTGTTTGTTTGGTCAGTCATGGGTCTCACTCTGTCATCCACGCTGGAGTGCAGCGGGATAGTCCTGGCTCACTGCAGCCTCAATCTCCTGGGCTCAGGAAATCCTTCCACCTCAGCCTTCTGAGTAACTGAGACTACAGGCACGTGTCACCATGCTCTGCTAATTCTTGTATTTTTTTGTAGAGATGAGGTCTCCCTGTGTGGCCTTTGCTAGTCTCGAGCACCTGGCCTAAGCAAGTCTCCCACCTCAACCTCCCAAAGTGCTGGGATTATAGGTGTGAGCCACTGTACCTGACCCTATGATAGTTCTGATGATAGAATTTAATCTCTGTAATTTTTCTTTTTTAATATTTTGAGTTGGAGTCTCAATCTGTCACCCAGGCTGGAGGGCAGTGACATGCTCACGGCCACCACAGCCTCGACCTGCTGGGTTCAGATGTTCCTTCTGCCTCAGCCTTCCAAGTAGCTGGAACCACAGGTATGCACCACCACGTCCAGCTAATTTTTTGATTTATTGTAGAGACAAGGTCTCATCAAATTGCCCAGGCTGGTCTTGAACCCCTGGACTCAGGCAGTCCTCCAGCCTCCACCTCCCAAAGTGCTGGGATTACAGGCGTGAGCCACCGTACCCAGCTGGCAACTTTTCTCTCCAAACCTGAGTGTCAAATGTTAGGTCTGCTAGATTCCCTTATTGGGACAATTTACTTTGCAGTACTTGTGACCAACATTTTTATACAACTGGGAAGAGCCCTAGCCATCTTTCAAGATGTTGAGTGCTTTTCTTGGTAGACTCTCATCTACATTTATAGCACAAAATCTGAAAGGGGTGATACAGAAATTTTCAAGTTATATATATGTTCAGCAGCTTCTCTATGGCCACAGCGGATCTGTCCTGGAAACACCCAGGAAGAGCACCCCTGACTCGTCCAATCCATACCAGAGGTTGGTTAATGGTTCTTGAGTCAATCATGGCTTGTAGACATTTTGTTTGAATCACCCTTGTTAAAATTGTAAATTTAAGCTGGGCGTGGTGGCTCACATCTGTAATCCCAGCACTTTGGGAGGTGGAGGTGAGAGGATTGCCTGAGCCCAGGAGTTAGAGACCACCAGGCCACTTGGCGAGACCTTACCTTTACAATACATGAAAAAAATTAGGAGTGGTGGCATGGGCCTGTAGTTCCAGTTACTTGGAAGGCTGAGGTGGAAGGATCACCTGAGCCTAGCAGGTTGAGGCTCCAGTGGCTGTGAGTATGCCATTGCACTCCAGTCTGGGTGACAGTGAGACTCCTATTCAAAAAAAAAAAAGTGAGCGGCTCGGTGGCTCAGTCTGTAATCCCCCGCCTTTGGGAGGCTGAGGTGAGTGGATTGCCTGAGCCCGCAGGTTCGAGACCCGCCTGGGCAGCGAGACCTCATCTCCACAATAAATCAAAAAATCAGCCAGACGTGGTAGCGCATGCCTGTAATTCCGGCTACTTGGAGGGCTGAGGTGGAAGGATCACCGGAGCCCAGCAGGTCGCTGCAGTGGCCGCGAGCGGCCACTGCACTCCAGTCTGGGCGACAGAGTGAGACTCCAACTCAAAAAAAAAAAAAGTGATTATTAGTTGCCAAGATTAGAGTTTACATAGAATGATGTACACTTCCAGTTTTTCTGTAAAAGATGGCACGTCCCAATGTAAAATATAAAGCTTTAAGAACTATAGAAAATTACCTTGGAGAAAATCTTTGGGACTTCTGGCATGGTGAAAAGTTCTTCGATGTGGCATCGTAAGCACAATAATGGAAAAAAAATGAAATCAGGCATCATCAGAATTAAAAACTTTTGCTTTGTGAAGGATCCTGTTAAGAAGGTGAAAAGACAAGATACAGACTGGAGAGCAATATTTGTAGACCACATATCTGACAAAGGACTGGTATCTAGACTACATAAAGAGCTCTCACTTAATAGTAAAATAAAAATTCAACTAGAAAATTGGCAAAAGATGTAAAGAGACATTTTACCAAAGAGAATATATGCAAGGGGAATAAGCACATGAAAAGATGTTCAACATCATTACTTATTAGGACAATGCAAATTAAAACCACAGCGAGTATGACTATGTACCTATTAGGACAGTTAAAATAAAGAATAGTGACATTACCAAATGCTGAAGAGGGTGCTGAGAAACTATCTCTTATACATTGTTGTCAGGAATGTAAAATATGAGGGGAAATTTCCCCAAAAACGAATATTTTTTGGAGGGTGGGCCCCTTGTAGTATAGGCTTCCCCTGCTAAGTGTTCTAGAAGCTCATTGGCATCAGTGTACCAGCTGGCATTATTGTGAGAGGCTGCATTCAACTTCAGTGAATATTTTTTGAGATTCTTTCAACATTTTTGTCTATTTCATGATGGGTGATTTACACAAACAACCTGCCCACATGGTACTGAGTGTTCAGCAGTTTTTTACCAAAAAAAAGCATGACTCTCGTGCCCCACCTTCCCAATTCACCCAGTTTTGCCCCAAATGCCTTTTTTTTATTTCCCCAGATGAAAAAACGTCCTCAAAGGGAAACGTTTTACTGATGTGGAAGAGGTGAAACAAACAACAACAATAAACAAGGCAGAAGCACTAAAAGGCATCAAAATGAGTTCAAAAACTGTTTTGAGCAGTGGGAAGAGTCGATAGGTACATTGTTATCAAACAGAGTACTTTGAAGGGTCAAGTTTGAACATGTAAGAATATACACACAATTTTTAATAAATAAATTCCAGTTTTTTGGGGGGGGTCTCCCCTTGTAGTTTGACCATTCTAGAAAATAGTTTGGCAGTTTCCTTTAAAAACACATACTTACCACATGACACAGCAGTTATATAGACTTGGGATTTTATCTTAGAAAAATGAATACATGCCTACTCCAAATCCTGTACTTAGCAGCTTTTTTTGTAATAGCTAGAAACTGGAAACAACCAAAATATCTCTCAATAGGTGAATGGTTAATCAAACAATGGTACATCCATACCATGGATTACTATTCAGCAACAACAATAAAGAAATACAGCCATGCCAGACGTGATGGCTCACACCTGTAATCCCACACTTTGGGTGGCAGAGGCGAGAGGATTTCCTGGGCCCAGGGGTTCAAGACAAGCCTGGGTAACTTGGCAAGACTCATCTCTACAATAAATAAAAAAAATTAGCCAGGTGTGGCATCCACCTGTAGTTCCGGCTACTGGGAAGGCTGAGGTGGAAGGATCACCTGAGCCCAGCAGATTGAGGCTGCGGTGGTTGGAAGCGCTACCTCACTCTAGTCTGGGCGACAGAGTGAGACTCTGACTCAAAAAAAAGAATAAAATACAGTCATGCATGCTTAACAACAAAGATAACATTCCAAGAAACATCATTAGGTGATTTTGTGGTTGTACAAACATCAAAATGTACTTCCATGAACCTAGATGGTACTGTCTGCTACACAGCTAGGATATTATGGTATATCCTATTGCTCCTGTGCTACAAACCTATATAGTATGTTGCTGTACTGAATACTGTAGGCAATTGTAACACAATGGTATTTGTGTATCTAGACATAGAAAAGGTACAGTAAAAATTCAGTATTAGGCCAGTCATGGTGGCTCACACTTGTAATCCCACCACTTTGGGAGGCCAAGGTGGGAGGATCACTTGAGTTCAAGAATTCAAGACCAGCTTAGACAACATAGTGAAACCTCATCTCTATGAAAAATAAAATAAAAAATTAACTGGGCATGGTGGTGTGCACCTATAATCCCAGCCACTCGGGAGGCTGAGGCAGAGTGATTGCCTAACCCCAGTAGGTTAAGGCCATGATGAGCTGTGATCATGCCGCTGCACTTCAGCCTGGTCAACAGAGTGAGATTCAGACTCAAAAAACAAAACAAAAACTGTATTATAATCTTAAGGGACCACTGTTCGTCATTGACAGAAATGTCATATGGTGCGTGACAGTGTTGATAAACATGACAACTTGGATGAATCTCAAGGACATTACATTGAAAAAAGTCAATTTGAAATGGTTGTATACCATATGATTCCATTTATATAATATTCTTGAAATTACAAGATCGTAACGGATAAGAGACTAGTTCATATAAAGGATTGGAACAAGGGAGCTCTTTGTGGTGATGGAATACAGTTGTCCCTTGGTAACTGTGAGGGATTGGTTCCAGGTTCCCTGACAGATTCCAAAATTCACAGATGCTCAAGCCTCTTATGTAAAATGGCGTATATAAAATTGCATATAACCTACACGCATCCTCTCATTTACTTTTTTTTTTTAATAAGAGTCTCACTCTGATGCTTACATTGGTGGGCAGTGGTATGCTCACGGCCACTGCAACCTCAACTTACTATGCTCAGGTGATCCTTCTACCTTAACCTTCCAAGTAGCTGGAAATACAGCTGTGCGCTACCATGCCTGGGTACCTCTCATATCTTTAAATCAGCTCTATGTTACCTCTAATTACCTAAAACAATGTAAATGCCACATTAATAGTTATGCTAGATAACTTTTTAATTTATACTTTCTTATTTTTTAAGTTTTAATTTGTTTTTGAGTTGGCGTGTCACTCTGTTGCCCAGACTGGAGTACGGTGGCATGTTCATGGCCACTGCAGCCTTGATCTGCTGCACTCAGGCAATCCTGCCTCAACCTCCGAAGTAGCTGGAACCACAGACATGCACCACCATGCCCAGCTAGTTTTGTTGTAGAGGTAAGGTCTTGCCAAGTTGCCCAGGCTGGTCTCGAACCCCTGGGCTCAGGCAATCCTCTTGCCTTGGTCTCCCAAAGTTTTGGTATTACGGGTGTGAGCCACGGCACCTGGTCAAGGTTCCCTTTTTAGATGGTGCATGTGCTCTAAGGCCTGTTGTTAATTCATTCATTTTATTTGGCTCCAGGGGACATTTGTGACTCCTGTATTATGTTGTTCATGATATAATATGGCATCATCCAGAGATAGCTGATGAAAGTAGCCTTAAAGTGAAAAATGTATGTACATACTGTTTGTTATTCCAGGTAATGGTGACATTTGATGATGTGGCCTTATATTTTTCGGAGCAAGAGTGGGGAATCCTGGAGAAATGGCAGAAAGAAATGTATAAGCAAGAGATGAAGACCAATTATGAGACCCTTGATTCCCTGGGTAAGATGGGCTTCTAAGGGACCACTTTTTGGGAGCCAACTTAATATCAATAGGCTTCCTTCCATGTGTGGGCTGTCGGCTGGTTGAACATGATACTGTGTCCAATTTACATTTATAATGTCTCCTTCCCTTCTGATAATGACCTAGGAATATTTAACTTGTCCCTTTTTATCCAGTAGTATCTGTGCCTTCAGCATTATTAATATTCTGCATTATTTATCTCCCACCTCAACCCTCCCCCATTTCTCCCACAGTTAGAATCACTCAGTAATTGAATTGTTCCTCTTTATTTAAAGTGTGTTCTTTCATTTATTTAACTAATACTTTAGTGCCTGCTTATGTTGCCTGAATAAGATGAATTTCCCATTTTCACAAGATCTATGACTTTTGTGAAGGGAGCATAGTTATTACATTAGAATAAGCTGGACTATAACGGAGTGCACAGTGTGGATACAACAGGTAAGAAAGAGCACCTGGGTAGAGTAAGCGAGAAGACAGCAGTGGGATGGGAGACTTAGGTAACTCCAGGAAAGTGAGGCGCAATGAAAGGAAAGAGTCCAGCCAAGAGCCTGGTGAGATTTTATGGTGGCTGAACCAGGTATGTAATGAAAGACAGAAGGAAGTAGGTGGTCTCCAGATATGTTGTGAAGGTAGAATCCTAGATTTTGCTGATGAATTGGGTGTGGAGTAAACAGGTGGAAATAATCAACTCAACTTTGGGTTTGAATATCTTTTTTTTTTTTCCTAATTTTTTATATTGAAGATGTGGGGTACAATTCAGGGTTAGGTATACAAATGGTTTTGAATATCTTGATGGCAAGTGACTTTTTTCATGGATAGGAGGAAGGGTTGGGGAGCAGCAGGTTTGGGCCACACTGAGTTTAAGATGCTCATAGAGATTTCTAGACAAGCAGGTATACAAAATTAGAATTAAAAGTGATGGTTAGAACGAATTTACTGATTTGGGAGACACTATATGGATGGCATTTTAAATGGCTACTTGGAATCTTCTAGGGAGAATATGTAGATAGGATAGAACAAGCCCTGGGATACCCCAGCATGTAGAGGTTAACTTGAAGAAACTGGCGCCCAGTGGCCAGCAGGGAGAAGACACGAGAGCCATGTGCTGATCCAGCGTTAAGTTTTGAGTTATCACAGTTAGTGTCCTTGAACTTCAATAATCAGTCTGATTTTTCCAGATTTTAAAAACTAAATGGTATTACTTGCTAGTGATTTTCTTTACAGAACATCCAGATCCCAGCCCCGAGGTTGGAATTTAGCAGAATCAGACTTTGGCCCAGGGATCTACATTTTTCACAAGCCCTTGACGTGCTGCTAATGGTGGTGGTACTCAGTTCACTCAGGAAATCACTGATGTGAGAGCTGAGCCTTAGTTACTACCACAAAGGTGATGAAGGAGCTTCCTGCTGCAGCTTCTAAAATCACTGTACTGATATATCAAAACCCTTCAAACCCTTATGCTTATGCCATTGGGCTATATTACTCTCTACCTCTTAATCACTGTCATTTAACAGCTCCCTGTTCCCTTCACTTCCTTGATCAAGAATTTTGGTACCTCAACAATTCGTTTCCTTGGATGTAAGGCATGTAGTCAGAAAAGTATAGTGACTGAGTTTCCCGCCTCAACTCCCTTTGAGCTTCTTTTTTCCTAAGCACATTGTACTCATAATGATCACTTTTGAATATTTTCTGCCTGAATATCAGCCTTTTAAAAATCCTCATCATCCTTAACCTCTCTACTTCCTTTACTTTTGTGACATGTTGCTGGGAATATTTAAGCTGAACAATTTTGGTGAAGTTGTATTCTGTTGTCATGCACATAATTTCAAGGAGGTTTTCTTTCCTTCCTTCCTTCCTTCCTTCCTTCCTTCCTTCCTTCCTTCCTTCCTTCCTTCTCTCCCTCCCTCCCTCTCTCCCTCCCTTCTTTCCTTCCTACCTTCCTTCCTTTTCTTAACTTCAGTCTCATGTCTCCAGGAATCAAAGTCAACTATGAAAATGATTTTTAGTTAAGTAATCAGGAAGCCTAAACTGAGTCAATGCAAACTCTCTTCACAGGCTATGCTTTTTCCAAGCCAGATCTGATCACATGGATTGAACAAGGGAGAATGCTGTTAATCAGAGATCGGGGATGCTTAGAAGAAACAAGAATGACAGTTAGCCCTTCTACTGATGAACAGTTGAACTTGAAGAATATTGGAAAGTCGCCATGTTTTGGTGAGTAAAATGGACTTAAGGTTATGAATCATTTACTCTTCCTAGCCTTGTTTCCTGAATCGTTCTTTTTGGATACTTGGCTAGACATAGGTAATAAGAAATACTGTTCTGGTGGAAAAAGTTAGATTTCTTTACTCAAATGGCTAGCAAATGTAAGAATGTATTACTTTTATAAAAAGGAAAGTTATATTTACATTATTTAAAAAAACACCCAAAACCTAGGCTAGGTTCAGTGACTGACGCCTATAACCCCAGCACTTTGGGAGGCTGAGGCAGGAGGATCACTTGAGGCCAGGAGTTTGAGATCAGCTTGGATTACACAGTGAGACCCTGTCTCTACAAAAAAAAATTTTTTTTTTTTTTAATTTGCCAGGCATGGTGGTGTGGGCCTGTAGTCCTAGCTACTTGGGAGGCTGAGGTGGAAGGATCACTTGAGCTCAGGAGTTGGAGCCTGCAGTATACTATGATCACACCACTACTTAGGCTGGGCAACAGAGCAAGACCTTGTCTCTAAACAATAAAAGTTAAAAACGTGGAAAGAAGAGGATTCTTTGTAAAAGAGCAAGGGATCAATTTTTCAAAGCCCTGAAGAAAATCCACCTCCCTGTCACACCATTGTGTCCATTTGAATATAGAGAAATAAAAATTCTTCTAAGTTTATACAGCTTTTTTTATTAATAGAGATTTTTTTAACTTAGGGTTAAAAAAAAATTCCTTTTGAAGGAATTCCTCTTGAGTTCCTTGTATCTTAAGGGAAACATTTGAACTATCTTAACACTGCTAATATTTAAGGGAATCTTTCACTTTTTATAGTATGTGAGTGTTTTACAAAGTACCTGGGAGTCAAGGAACTCCTCTGAAGAAGAAGGCAATCTGAACCCAGGGAATGCATCAAAGCTCCATCAAGAGGATAAAATAAATCCCAAGGTTTCATTTCATTGCCACTGTCTATCCATTCATCTAACCAGTATAGAGTGCCTACCATATTAACAGGACTATGTTAGTATTAGACTAGGGTGAAAAACCTTATATAATGTGTGTGTGTGTGTGTGTGTATGTGTGTGTCACACAGCAATTCTTACAGTCTAGATATTGATCATCTTACTTACTTGGCTCTTAAGTTAATAAATTATATTGAACCGTGTATAGTTTAATTAGTCAGCTATAAATTAAGACTGTATATGAGTTAATAAAATAATAAGTGGCAGGGTAGAAAGTGCTATAGGGATTTAGAGTAAAAAGAATGGAGGAGAGATAGCATTATCCCAGGAGGACTCTAAAGGAATTGAGATTTAAATAGAAAAAAATGGGCAGATTTGGTTAGGGGAAAAAGAGTCAGCAGGGGTCATACATAAGCTGAGGCTCAAAGGTGGGAACACATTCTTACACTTAGAAAACAGAGAAGACACCAACCTCCCTGTAGCTGAATGTTACATTTGGGTCATAGTGAGAGATGGGAGGGGAAACATAAGTTGGTGCCAGATTGTCTGAGGCCAGGAATGCCAAGTTGAAAAGTTTGACTTCATCCTGTAGAAAAGGAGGAACCTGGGAAGGTTTTTGAATACCAAAGATTTAGTAACTGGTGGCTATCCCTAAAAATAAATGAGCTCATCGTATAAGGTTGTACTCAGCCAATAATCACTACTGGTTCTCTGCCTAGCTTAAATAGTAAAAGTGTGTTTTTAGGAAGATTAAACTTCCAGTGATGAGAAATAGGACTCAAGGAGACAGGTAAGTATGCTTTTGTCATCCAGGCTAACTTACTAAATAGCATGATTGTGTTGGAAGCATCACCTATGTTGTTGTGAAGATGATCACAGAGCACAGTGAGAATTCCCCAGGGGCAGTATCAGTTGGATTTCCTCCTTGGTTGAGAGATATAAAAGGAGAGCTCACCGGGCTCAGTGCCTCAGCCCGTAATCCCAGCTCTTTGGGAGGCTGAAGTGAGTGGATTGCCTGAGCCTGCAGGTTCGAGACCCACCTGGGCAACTTGGCAAGACCTCATCTCTACCATAAATCAAAAATTAGCCAGGCGTGATAGTGCGCACCTGTAATTCCAGCTACTTGGAAGGCTGAGGCAGAAGGATCGCTGGAGCCCAGCAGGTCGAGGCTGCAGTGGCCGGGAGTGGCTACTGCTCTCCAGTCTGGGTGACAGAGACTCCAACTCAAAAAAAAAAAGTAGAGCTCCATTTTCCAGTACAGCAGGACTTTGGAGGAAAAGCAGTTGTGAAATACAGTTGTTTCTGTGAATGTCTGCAGTGATCCTCTCCAGACCTAGTGGGTAATAATGTGATAACTCAAGTTCCTCTATTTCCTGTCATAGGTATTACTTTGGGAAAAGTAGTGATTGTGCCTATGTAAACATGACTTTCTTATAATGCAGAGTTCCTTGGAAAAGGAAATAATTTCAACAGTCTTCTTTGTGAATTCAGTGAACTGACATTTTGTCGTTCCTAAGAAAGATACTTTCTATTAGTATTTCTCCCAGAAAATGTTTTCTAAAATCTGTGGTAGAGGGGGAACAAGAATATAACTGTAAGCCTTTCTTAATACTTAAATATTGTGCTATTTATTTCATAGACTTAATGGTGCAGTCAGATTTTCAGAGTAACTCATTTTTATTTTCTCTATCTTCTGCTTACCCTCTGAGGGTCATTTATAATTCACAAGATGTATTTGCTTGCCATTTTTTCGATGCTAAGCCATTCCTTGACAAATAGTGAAAGGAAATTAAAAGTTAAATATAATTTACCTACAGGAGACAGATTCCCAAGTCATTGAGAATTGGAATTCTCCTTCCCACTTTGCTAGCGACATGAAGCTAGTCCTTGAACCCACTGTATAGTAGACACATCACTGATGAGAGTAATATTTTTTTCCTCTCCAGATGACAAAGGAACTCACAGGACAAAAAAGGAAGAATGCCATTTAAATGATCTTCCAAAACAATACTTGGGTGCTACCTTATCCGGGAAGGAGAGAAAGATACTTTCAGATCAAAGAGCCCCCTTCCAATCTCTAACTCTCCAAGAAAAAGAGCTTCTAAATAAAAGACTTAGCATCACGGCATCTCATCAGGGCAAGAAAGACTTATGGCATAAGCCTCCAGATACTCTAGGTGACTTGGAAATTCTGGCAGGGCCAAGATTTTATACCTGCTACGTCTGTAGGAAAGTCTTCCAGGTAAAGAGTGACTGGGTAAAGCACAAAAAGAGCCATTCCAAGAACCAGCCCTGCAAATATCCAAAGTACAGAAACAGATCCAGAGGGAAATCAGAACTCAGGTGGACCCAGAGGTTCCTGTGTAAGAAGAAGCGGTTCCAGTGCAGTGAGTGTGAGAAGAGCTACTATCTGAAGGGCAGCCTTGTCACTCACCAGGTGGTCCACACAGGCCAGCGGCCCTTCCTGTGCCCTGAGTGTGGCAAGACCTTCCGGTACAGAGCCAACTTGAAGAAGCACCTGTGTCTGCACAGAGGGGAAAGGCCATTTTGCTGTGGGGAGTGTGGCAAGGGTTTTACCCAACAGTGCGAGCTCATGGAGCACCTCCGACTGCACAGCGGGGAGAAGCCTTTCCAGTGTCCGGAGTGTGACAGGAGCTTCCGCCTGAAGAGGGGTATGAAGGTCCACCTTTCCCAGCACAGGGGGAAGAAACCCTTCCATTGTCCAGAGTGTGGCAGAAACTTTTCTCGGAAGGCTGCTTTGAAGACCCACCAGAGGACACATAGTGAAGAAAAGCCGTTTTCTTGTGATGAATGTGGTAGGAAGTTCATCTACAAGATTAAACTCGATGAGCATATCAGAGTCCATACAGGAGAGAAGCCCTTTTCATGTCCCGAGTGTAATAAAAGTTTCCGCCTAAAAAGAAGCCTACAAGCCCATCGCTTGCAGCACAGTGGGAAGAAGCCTTTCCAGTGTCCAGAGTGTGACAGGAGCTTCTTCTGGAGGAATGCCATGAAGGCCCACCAGCGTCTGCACAGTGAGGAGAAGCCGTTCTCCTGTGGGGAGTGTGGCAAGAAGTTCACCCGGCCCTCCAAGCTCGCTTGCCACACCAGAGTCCATGACAGGCAAAAGGAATTCCCCTGTGGTGAGTGCAAAAAGACCTTTTCTCAGCAGTCAAGGCTCACGCAGCACCTCAAGGTCCACACTGCAGAAAAGCCATTCTCCTGTGCTGAGTGCAGCCGGAGTTTCCGGCGACGTGCACATCTCACTGAGCACATGAGGCTTCACAGTGGAGAGGAGCCATTCCAGTGCCCTGAGTGTGACAAGAGCTTCTCCTGGAAGGCCTCTATGAAGTTCCACCAGCGCATGCACAGGGATGAAAAGCCCTTTGCATGTGGTGAGTGTAGCAAGACCTACACTCATCAGTCTCAGCTCACTGAACATCTGAGAGTCCACAGTGGAGAGAAACCCTACCAGTGTCCTGAGTGTGATAAAAGTTTCCGTCTCAAAGGAAATTTGAAAGGCCACCTGCTCCAGCACAGCGGCAAAAAGCCATTCTCTTGTGTTATGTGTGGCAAAAGTTTCACTCAGCAGTACAGGCTCACAGAACACATTCGCGTCCACAGTGGTGAAAAGCCCTTCCAGTGTCCAGAGTGTGACAAGAGCTACTGCATCAGGGGAAGCTTGAAGGTCCATTTGTATACACACAGTGGAGAGAGGCCTTTCAGGTGTACTGAGTGTGGCAAAGGCTTCCTCCAGAAGAGAAGCTTGAAGGCCCATCTGTACCTTCACAGTGGGGAGAGGCCTTTTTCTTGTGATGAGTGTGGAAGGAGCTTCACATACGTGGGGGCACTGAAGACTCACATTGCTGTGCATGCCCAGCAAAAGCTCTCCTATCTCTAGGTCAAGCTGTGTGGCAGTCCCACAGTGACATCTTGTAGGTGGAGCCAGCAGTTTTGTTGGCTCAAGTCGCGGCAGGTTAAAGAATTAACAGGATACTGGCTACAGACATGCTGGCAGAGGCACAGTCAGCAGGACCTGATGGCTCCTTGACCGAAGTTCTGAATAATCCAGGCACAGACAGTCAGAGACATTTCCCTTTGGTAACCCACATAGGAAAGGCCTGCCAGGTTATGGCAGAAATTTTATACAGATCTGCTAGTCTTGACAGATATTTTCAGTGTCATCAAAAAGCATAATAATCCCTTCATTAAACTCAGAAACCACAGCCTGAATGAAGAAATATTACAGACAGGAACATTTCCCACATACTCTTCAGTCAGCTTTTCCATTACCAGGCCTCCATATTTAAATTTGTTTTGAAAATTTCAGTTTTCTCTCATAGTGGATTTCATTTTCTTTCAGATCAAGTTTTAGGACATCTGTTTCTTGGAGGGATTTCTCTATATTGCTAAAAATAAATGCTGTCTTCCACCATCTCATTTGTTAAGATGATTACCCATAAAATAAGTATTATTACTTCTGATTAATTTAAATCACCCAAAAGTCCACCATTGTGAGGAAGAAGCAATGTTATTTATCTAACCCATCTGCATTTTTAGCAGCGTTGTGTCAGTTCTCAAAGAAATATATTTGTCTTTACATGAGGAAAATACCAAAGGAGAAGATACTGTCAGTTCAGGGCATTACTTCATTTTTTGCCCTGTGATCTCATCTGCCATTTTAAGGTAATTTTCCAGGCTATTTTAGCAAACTCTCCTCTATCTCTCAGACTGTGTAACATTACTCTTAAGAAAACTAATAGCTTTCCTTAGGAGATTTGAGGGACTTCATGATTTTGTGTGTGTAACACTAAATATGGTCCCAAATTACCTAGGTCAGAATTAGCCAGGATCAAGGGTGTTAAAAGAATTATAGTGTCTATGAAAAGAGAAGAAAGATGCTATCTCTGATGGCACAGTCCTGTGGGTGCCTGTTGGTAAGTCATTGCTACCTTTGAGTAAAGCAAAAAATACGTTAACTGTGCCTGGGCATGTGTGGGCCAAACTTCAGCATTGGCTGGCTTCTTCTTCAGTGTACCTCAGGACAACTCTGTCTTTCCCTGGGATGCATGTTAAAAATGCACACTCTTGGGGCCCTCCACAGATGAGCTGAGTGACAATCTTCCCAGGTGATGTTGGTGTAAACTGAAGTTTGAGAACATTTGATCTGGTGAATGGAGAGACTTGAGGAAGAAAACCTGTTTCTGCAAGACATTCTGGTCATTCCAGTGTGAATTCAAGTTAAACTCCCTTTAGCCTTTTTCTTCTCTCTTTTGTAATAAAACTTCTTGTGATAAAAGTTGCTTACATTTATGGGGTATATTAATCTGCTCAGGCTGCCATAACAGCATGCCACAGGCCGGGTGCTTAAACCACAGAAATGTATTTTCTCCACAGTTCTGGAGGCTGGAAGTCTAAGATCAAGGTGCCAGCAGGGTTAGAGTCTAATGAAGCTGTTCCTGGGTTATAGACTTGGCCTTGTTGCTGTGTCCTTACATGGCCTTCTGTGTGTGAGGTAGGAGGAGGTATTAGATTAGGTGCTCCCCTTATGACTTCATTTAACTTTCATTACCTCCATAAAGCTTTATCTACAAATACAAAGTCACTCAGGGGGTTAGGGATTCAACGTATGAATTTAGCAAGGGGAGGGAATACGATTCTTAGACTTATTGTCTTAGATTTACTGAATGCCCACTGTTTACCAGACACTCTACTATATGTTTCACAATCATAATCTCACTTTAATCCTCACATTATAATGTCCATTATTAACTTGGTCTTTATTCTATCCAGAATCTGAATATTGGCCACAGAGCAATTTGTGTTCCCTAACATGTGACCCGATTCGGGGCAAGGAAGACAGCTTATATAGAAATTTCTGCTTGGTTGTGTATGGTGGCTCACACCTGTAATCCCACTTTGAGAGGCTGAGGCAGGAGGATTGCTTGAGCCCAGGAGGTTGAGACAAGCCTAGGCAACATAGCAAGATGTCATCTCTGTAAAAAATAAAAAATAATCCAGGCATGGTTGCACGCACCTCAGTCCCAACTACTCAGGAGGCTGAAGCTGAAGGATCTCCTGAGCCCAGGCAGTTGAGGTTGCCATGAGCTGTGATTGCCACTGCACTCCAACCTGAGTGACAGAGACTCCTACTCAAAAAAAAAAAAAAAAAAGAAAGAAAGAAAAGAAAAGAAACTTCTGCTTAACTGCTTTTGCCAGGCAAGGGAATCCCTGACTCCTAACAAACATGAACATCTGGAAAGTTCCCACTACTACAGGTCATAGATTTCCTTTCTCCTTTCTTAAAGCCGTCCCTTTCCTTGTTCTCAGCTCCTCTCCATTCTCCACTTCCACTTGCTCACCTTTAGCACCTAGAATTCTGCCTTAGTGTGACTGTAGGCGCACCCCTTATTGCCATTTCTGTGCCAGTCCCCCATGTATATTTTTTGAAGACTAGGAGAGAGTCTGTAGGTCCACTCCATAATCTGCAGTTTTTCACCTAGTTCGCACTGACGAATTCCAGTAGGTCCCTAAAACAATATTTTTCTGTAATGTGACTGATTTTCATAGAGGTACCCTCCTTTTTTGACTTCTAGAAGCCAAAACTTTGTCTAGAATTGTAAACTCCCTCCCGTTCCCATTATATTAAATGGAGAAACTAAAACAGAAGGAGTTCTACTATCTTGCCCGACACCAGAGGTAGTAAACGGAGCTGAGATCTGTATCCTATCAGACTTCCTCCAAACGCTGTGCTTTTTGTAATATGCTGAAGACTATGTCCCTTCTCTCTTCCACTCAGCCCACTGTCTTTGCTTCAGCCACTCAAGGGAATGTCTGTCACTGAAATTAATAATCTCTTAAGTGCTTCCTTTGACCTTTTCATCCACAGCTTTGGCATTGCTGAGTAGTCAACTCTTTTTTAGTTTTAAAATGAGTTTATTAAAGAATGTTCTTAGGAAGGCAACACCATTTTATCTGTCATCTAAAAAAGTTATGTGTTTTCAAGCTGTATAATAAAGGTAATGTAAGAGGCTCCAAAGTTTTTTCTATCAAAGTTATTTTTCTATGGAGATTCTCTGGCATAGCACAGTGTAGTCATTCCTGCATTCTGCTAGAATAAATTTTTTTAAAAGTCTCTTCTATACTTCTCTTCAAAAAGTGATAAATAATATCAGAAGATGGCATACAAAAGTCACTTTTTTCTATTCATTCTGTAGTATTGGAGCCAGTATTTTTTCCATCATAGGCTACAATGTTCACTTCATCCACTTTAATAAATTCTGTCACCTCTCTGAGTTCAACATCATTCAATACAAAAATCCATACGGAATCTATACTTATTTAGAAAGCCCCTGAAATGGACTCTGTTCCTGGCCCTCTAGGCCAACGCTGATACAAGGGAAGCAGAACTTGAAGGGCAAGTTGGGGGGCGATCTGTTGAGACTGTATGAGCTCATCTAGGCTCCCCTGAAGACTTCCTAAAGTGGTGTTTCTGTACAGCTGGTATGCCATGGCTTAGGAGGGAGAAGTCGTTTTTCTTTTTCGAGCTTGCATGCATGCCCCGCTCCCTGTGGGGAAGGCGCTTCCCGCCACGGAGCGAACCGAGGCGGCCAGGAGCGCCGCGGAGCTCCGGCTTGCCGACCGCGCTCTCAGCCGCAGGGCCCGCAGGGCCCGCAGGGCTGCGCCCACGACCCGGTGGCGCTCGAGGAACCTAGAAGCGACTCCCGGCGGAGGGCGGGAGGCCCCCGGTAGTGGGCTCTTAAAACTCTTCCTAGACATCGTTTTCTTTTTGGCTTGTCTATGTTCACGTTGTTTTCTTTTTAGTTCTTCTGAATCTACTTGCTAACCTGTTGGTATTTCCCATAATTTGATCATTGGCACTTTGCTTTTTTATTTTGTTTTGTTTTAGATGCACCCCGGAAATAGCACTCTCTTCCCTGCCTAGGTTCTTAGTAAGAAATAAGACAGATCAAAATATTACTTTTACCTGTGGCAGCGCTAACACTGGAGAACCCAGTCATGCAGAACTGCACCCAAGCAAAGGGTGAGGAGGCAGGAGTAGGAGCGTGTGCTCGTGGCGTCTCATCGAGGATGAGAGAAGCAGTCCCACCACCAAAGCCGAGAGCTAGCTGTGTCTGTTTGCTCGCGTGACTGTTGTGCTCTCCTGAGCCACAGCTTGTGCATCTACTTAACCTGTTATCACATATGTACTGATGACTTTCAAATCTATAGCTCCATACTTTCAACTTCCTTCTAGGAATTCCTTACTTCCATGGGCATCTCAAACACATCATGCCCAAAATGACTTGTCAACGGTATCAACCCTACTTTACCCCCTTCATTGCACTCTCCTGGATTTTCCACTTGTGAAATTATATCTATTAAATCTACCTTGGCTGGGCGCAGTGGCTCATGCCTATAATCCCAGCACTTTGAAAGGTCAAGGTGAGAGGACTGCCTGAGCCCACAGGTTCAAGACCAGCCTGGGCAACTTGGCGAGACCTCATCTCTACAATAAATCAAAACACTAGCTGGGCATGGTGGCGTGTGCCTATAGTCCCAGCTACTCGGAAGGCTGAGGTGGAAGGATCACCTGAGCCCAGTAGGTCAAGGATGTGGTGTCCACGAGCACACCACTGCACTCCAGCCTGGGTGACAGAGTGAGACTCCAACTCAAAAAAAAAAGAGAGAGAACCCAGGAGCTGACCCTGACCTGCCTTTGCAGCTTAATCATGTTACCCATTCACAGTATGAGTTCAGCCATGTCAAATGACATTTACTTTACTCTCATGACTTCTCCATCTGTTTGGAATGTCCTTCCTTCCTCATCTACCTAACTCCTTTATATTTCATAATTCAGTCCAGACACCAATAACCTTTTAGCTATGTGCTTGTCTCCTCTCCTGGCACCTCTAAACACCTTTCTCTAATAGCACTCTTCACATGAAACTCTGCTTCCCCTCAAAGATGAACCCCTGGAGGGCAGCCGTATGATCTTGTTTTTGTATTTTCTCCATCACTGTATTTTTGCCTATCACGTATCTGGAATAGAAGACACTCTAGGGCCGGACGAGGTGCATTTATAGTTGGGGGGGCAGGAGGGCTACTTGAGCTCAGGAGTTC